AATAACCACACAAGGGAAAGCAAAAGCTTAGCTGACAAAAGACTATTCTTATTTCACAGGTCACCTGCCATCTACGTGCCCTTCAGAGCGCTGGAAATGTGCCATTACCTCCGCGATGGCTGACCCCGCCAGTCCCGGGTACTCACGTTGGCCATCCTTCGCCTGTGGAGACGGTGAAGAGCGTGAGCAGAGCCCAGAGCACGTTGTCGTAGTGGAACTCATATTTTTTCCATTCCCTGGGCTGCGCCTCCACCTCATTTTTTTCATAATCGAGGTACTGACCCCTAGGAAAAACAGAGTTTCAGACCAAATGAGGGAACTAAACCAAATCAGCCATTTCGTATGACTCACTGAGGAGCATCAAAAAGCCCCAGCAGCAGAGTCCGCCTGTGCTATGTATGACAGACATAGACAGGTCCTAAGTTTATAATAGAAGTAAAGGCCTTTTTTTTTTTTTTTCTTTTGAGCTATTTTGGGCCGCAGGAACTGGACCTGATATCTAGAAATGAAAGAAAACGTAGTCAGGACATTCATCCATTAGGCAAAGCCGCCAATTAACAGCAAATTGTCTGACCCCACAGAAAACTGTGCTGCTTGATGGGCAGAAGTCTCTGGCTCCTACTTCAGGGTCGGATCTAACTTCTAACTGGGTCCTGCTTTGAGGGGCTGAGGTCCCTGGTGTCTGGACACCTCCCCTCCCACCTCTGTTTTTCTATAATTTCACATTTGTTTCTGTAACATATCTGCTTTATTGCAAGGAAGAACTGCAGCGACAGCCTCCGTGGCCGCTGCAGGCACGCGGTCCCAGCAGGGACGTGCCCTGCGAGGGGTAACGCGGGCAGACCCGGGCAGTGCTGAGGATGCGGTTTGGCTGCCAAGAAAAAAGGCAAGTGAGGAAGATGAACACTGTGGTGAGTAAAGCACCTTGACAGTCTGCCGCAAAGGACAAACCATGACAGAGATTTTAAGATATTCAAATACTGACCCCCTTTTCTAGCTAATTAGGAGCTCTTTCACTTCCTACCGACTCACTTCTGATTAATCATTCATTATGTTTTTCTAATTCATACCAGCCCTAAGAATCAAGGCAGCAGGTAGAAAAAGGAGTCACGCCATCCCTTCAAAAACCCTTGACCTTAAAATCACAACTAGCCCTCCCCGGGGCAAGCAGCCTGCTGTCCTGTACACTTAAGCGTTTGGGTAAGTGTTTGCTAGAGCAGGGTTTACCTACCGGAGACTCATCAAGCTCAGCAGATACCCAACTGACGCAGCTTTGGGACAGCCAAGGGAGCTGCTGCTGCCAGAGGAAAGTGGGGATCCCCCCTGCCAGCCCCCGTCCCCGGCCGTACCTGCAGTCCTTCTCCAGCTCCTTCGACTCATCGGTGCAGTAGAAGAATCTGCCTTTGAAGAGCTGCACAGCAATGACGGCAAAAATGAACATGAAGAGCATGTAAACGATGAGGATATTGAGGACGTTCTTCAGAGAATTCACCACGCAGTCGAAGACAGCCTGGGGACAGAGGAGAACAAGGTGAAGGGGTGGAAAGGAAAAAAAAAGTGCATCTAACATCCTGGCATCCAGCATCGAACTACACTGGGGAGTAATTACCCAACCTATAACCCACGGATGGTTTCATGGACTCGCACGCCAAGTGTTTGACCAAGAGTCGTGTTCCAGCAGTGAGAAATAACGCCGGCTTCTAACACCTCCTGCTTCCTCGGCGAGTTTGGCTGTGCCACCGAATCTCCCGGTGCTGCCCGTAAAATTTATAAAGACAATCGCAGCTCGTCAAGACAAACATTAGTCCTAAGCGACTATTTCCATGGCCAATTATGAAATGAAAAACATGCTTGTGTTTAATTTATTCCCAATGGACAGGTAAAAATCTCATCAAATATGTTACTCGTTGACCATTACAGAATCCCAGACGGGTCAGGGTCGGGAGGGATGGCTGGAGATCATCCAGTCCAACCCCCTGCCAGAGCAGGGGCACCTACAGCAGCATTATTTGAACTGCTTCAATAATAAGGAAAATATACCAGCTACAAAACAGCCAAATGCTTCGAATAATATTTTTCTAATGAACTGTCTATCAAAACTAAGTGTGACTAATCTAGTCAGCATATGTCACTTCTGCACTCCCTGCAAAGAACTTCTCAAATACACTTATTATTTGATTATTAGTCACCGATTCATTGTTACAAGTAATTTGCAGTTTAATTTTAGTCTGAGAAGTTTGTCATAATAATAGAAATTGAGCAGTCACTGCCCAAGTGCGGGGTTTGTACAATACCGTTCTTGTTTCTCTGAATGGAAGTGAATAATTCACAAAATTACACTCCTGATGCAACCCAGAAATCCTGAATTAAAACACCGGAAATATCTCTAATCACCCCATTAGTCTTGCTGATTGTCGCATACAAGACCGCATCCAGGAAAAAAAAATGGAAAGAATTTTGAAGACAAACCATATGAATATGACTTCTGCTTCACATACATATTTCTGAATACTTCTTTAGAAGTGGTAAAATTATGCTGCAAAATAGCTTGAAAATAAGGAGACATTCAATAAAAAGCAAACGTTCGGCGTCCTGCTGTAGGACTGAGCTACTGTTGACTGGTTTACAACCTCAGAGCCGTGCATTTCAAATTTCTAAACAAATAAAGACCATTTTCTACGTTGTTTGACATTACTCTTCCTTATCTTTTGAGGTTAATTTAGGATGCATGAAAATGCATAAAATCAACATTATTTGAGCCTGAATCGTGGGTAAGGACAAAGGCAAATCTATCTAACAGCTGACCCAGATTTTTTACTTGCCACTACGTAAAACAGGAATTGTCAGACGTAGTTTCACCGTTGCAAAAGCACCTATTGCTTTTTCCCCATCTCTCAAAGAGAAGAGCCTGCAAGCAGGGATGCCGCATGAAAACCTTCTACAATAGGTATTCAAGAGTTCCCAAAACTCAGAAATTATTAAATTTTATAACTCCTTCCATTCTCTGCTTCCAGGGGCTGGCTGTACCTCAAAGCGGTTGGGAAATGGTGTTGAATAAGTCACCACAGGCCATTACATTTATTTTACTTTGTAATTTAGTATTCTAGAGATGAAAGGGTGCTGCTATAAAACCCTGCACTATATATTCTTTAATAGAAAAGATGAACAGATTAAAAGTCCTCATACGGCAATGACATTTCTCTTTAGACAAACCGTGGAAAAATCTTGCAATATTCATGCTAAATTCTCTAGGGAAAGTCAAACACTCCAAAACCTATTTTCTCTTATATCATTTTTAAGAGCATCACTCTTATGAACTGTAATTTAATTTATTTGCATTTTTTTCTACTCTTTTTTAGAAGCTTGATTTCAATGTGGATTCACAATAATTCATAATATTGCACACAGTGTTTGCAAAAGAAACAAGTGTTTGACATTTGCTAAACATCTGCACAGCTATTTTTATAAATCTGGCAAAGAGATTAATTGCAACAAAATAAAAGGAACAGAAATAACTTGGACTAAGTTTCGTCCATCAGCTTCCGCTCGGATCACTTGCAAACCTCCAGAGAAGGAAAGGGTTGTGGTTATTCTCTAACCTTTAGTTTTGGTAGCCGTTTAATGGTCTTCAGCGGTCTGAGGACCCGCAGAACTCGCAGGGACTTGATTGTGTTGATGTCCTTGCCTTTGGTTCCTCTGCAAGGGATAAAAGGCACAAGAACAACAGAGGGAATAGTTTGGTCCTCAGGTCGCTAGCTACAATATCCATAGGTACCCCGTGTGGTTTCGGTTGTGGAATTGGTTTGGGTTTGTGGTTTTTTACAGGTTTTGGGTGCCATCCTCACCACGGATGCAGACAGCACTACTGCAGACTGCGGATGAACGCCCATCGAGACGTACCACGCAGGAGGAAGGCTGTGGGCAGGACATGGTCCTCGCAGCGTTCAGCCACACGTGCTCTCCAGCCTTCGCTCGCTTCCCGGCTACTCAGCGAGCATCACCCAGGAACTGGTGACCTCCCTGCCCCGACTCCCCACCCAGGCCACGGCCAAAGCCAGGGCAGCAGCACCCCTGGGCTGCAGCCACCAGGAGAGGAGGCTCAGTACATTCATCCCAACCCCAGGCAGGAGAAGTGAGACAGTCACACGTGGCTCTGCTCCCTCCCAGGCACCTGGGTGAGACAGGAGGACGTATCTCTGTGTGCTTCTTGCACTTCTCTGGCAGGGAGGTCGTGTCTAGACAAGCAGACAGTGACCAGAGGGAACTGGAGCCTTCGCGGTGAGGGACAGAGCTCTCCTGGGGACCAGAGCTGCTCCATGCCCGTACCCTCATCCTCAAGTCTCTCCTGGAAGACATGCTACCAAACCCATGCGGGAACATGTAATATGACGGCATATTACATGCCTGGAACAGTGCTGGGGCAACTTCCCACTTACGCATGCAGGTGCCGTAAGTCACATTTTGGTTTTACTTTTTGTTAAAACTTAATGCACGACTTGAGACCGTTCCTCTTGTTACCATTAAAAGGGTTTTTTTTAGGGGAAGGACAAAGTTCCTTTCCTCGTGCACTTCCAAAATAAATAAATAAAAAGACACAGTTACATCTTCTTCCAACCCAACAGCAAAACAATGACATTCCCCTTCATTTCATATGAAGTGAAAAATGGGATGAAAATCTTTAACGGAGCTTTGTTCATGACGGTAGGTTTGGGTCTGAGACTGTATTGAAGTAACACAGGTGTGAATGAGTAAGATGTTGAACAGATGCGGATACACCTATCCTATGCTCTTCCAGTTTGCTAAACGTTTCCTTTCTCCAGCAGGAAAGCAACAGAAATACAAATAACCCGAGAGACCCACAAGTGCAGGTGGGGGACTGCAAAGCTTCCCCCCACCCTGCTGGCACCACGCTAAGGGATGAGCACCGAGAGCTGAGGAAACCACCCAGTTTCATGGTTGTCTGACCCTGCTCAGCCCTGGAAGGTGTCTTTTTGTCTCTATCCACTTCTAAGAGACTCATGACTCAGTACTAATGCTGTGCTACTCAACACTAACACCGGACTGGAATCTGCAACCGAGAAACACACGTTCCTGTCTCATCTCCGGTCTCTTTCTCCAATTACCAGTCACTGCACTTGTCCTGAAATGCAATAAGCAGTGAGACACACGGAAGTTTTGGAGGGCCGTGGGTTGTATGCCAAGGACTTCCACATTGAAGGCAAGTTGCCTTTGCACATGATTTGATAGAAATGGAGGAGACGGGGGGACAGGGTGGAGATTTACCTGTCCTCTCCCTACCTCGTCTTTCAGGGCTGCTTTAGGGCCATTTTAATCCTGACTGCTGGCGCGGCCATAAATCCAGGTGGTTGAGCTGATACTCACGGAGTTACAGAACTGATTTAATGCCACAAAATAACTACTCTACATTTAAAAGAAATCATTTTTGATTCTCACTAGAGACCCTTTAATCTGGTCGAGAGGAAGCAGACACTGACAAATAGCTTTTACTGGCTTTCTCTTCAGGTTTTAGCATAACTAAAGATCTGGCCCATGTTTGGCTTCGCATACTTGCCTTCCAATCACCAACTCCTGGCAAGCAACGATCCTGCCACGGCCACTGCAGCCATCTCCTTGTCACCACAGCCTCCAGCTGAGCCGGCCAACCTGGAGCTCACGTATTCCCCAGACAGCTTCCCCTGATCCTTCGCAATGCCCTGGCCACAAAATCATTTGTTCAGCCTCTTGAGGAGGACAGCCAGTGGCAGGAGGGAGGCAGAAGGAAAAACAGGTCACCAGGAGATAGCACCTGGCTTGGCCAGCCAGCTTGGCCCCATGGCTGATGGTCACCATCACTGTGGCCATCACCTTGGCTGCCTCTGCTGCTCCCTCTGCCCTCTCCCCTCTGGACGGCCAAGCAAATCCCTCGGGTCGCTCCACGTTGCCCGGCCATTTGGGGTTTAGCTAAATGAGGAAGCCAGGGCAGAGAGGGCGAAGAGGCAGGAGCTGAGGAAAGTAGAGGTGAGAGAAGAGTGAAGGCGAGAGGGTTAAGGGACGTGTGGTTGGAGAAAAGAGAAGAAAAAAATAGGAGGAAAAAAAGATGTGGGAGACCTTGGCCCAGAACTATATCTGATTCTCAATTGTTTGTGGCCACGTTTCTGGTTTGCAGATTAACACACAGCCCAGCTCAGCGGCACAGCCACCGGCAGGTAGCAACTGAACCGATAAACCTCAAGAGTCCTCACCCGGGTTCAAGTGGCACCACAGAATATTTCCGCGTGCTGTCTGCCAGTGCTCCTGGTTCCAGGAGACCTGAACACCTCTTTACTGTGCCGCCACGCATTTGCATTAAATAACAACTGTGCTAATAAGGCCTCCTGGAAGGGAAGTTCAAGAGGAGACCAGAGTGGCTTCTCGGCTCTGAAGGAGGTAGCTCAGGTCTCAAGGGCTGGCGCCAAGCCCGAAGCAACGAACTCTGCGGACTTCGTATTTCTAGGAAGGTTAAACAGCCCTCCCGGGGACTTGCGAATAGGTGGGGCAGAACAAATCCTTCCTCCCGGGTCCGTGAGAGAAGGTGGTGGTTCTCCCTCGCACGGGGAGGAGTGCGGATGACTGCACTGAGAGCTTGGAGGTGAAGGGCGGAGAGCTCCAGTCCTACAAAATCCTTTCTGCCTGAATGAAGGACACTAAGAAAGGTTGATTTTATATATCTTTTTTTTTTTCCTTTCAGGCACCTAAGCAAGTAAAGAGCGTGAGCCAATTAAATGTTAATGGGATTTATGATCTAAGCCATATAGAGAATCCTGAAAAATCATACTTATTTCTTGTCACAGTAAGGTTCCTGCTGTAGGAGAAAGCTTTTTCAATGGACTGGTATTCTCTGAACGAGAGTGCTGCAAATCGCATTTTAATTAAATGGATCTTCTGCAACTCGTTCAGCCTGTCAAATAAAACCTTAAGGGTGGGTTTTGGTGTTTTTAAGAACCCCCTCTGCCAATATTGGGTTTTACACCACTCTAATGCAAAGCCAGATGTCCCACAAAATAAAAGGTGGAATTGGGATTCAGTCAAAAGGTGTATACAAGCACACATTTGACCAGAATATTTCTCGCAACAAAAATAAATTGCTATGGAAGGACAAGATCTTTGGTGACTGCAGAATAACAATTACAAAATTCAGAAAAGCTACATAAGAGCAAGTAGGATAAAGACAGACAGTGAACAGAAGTCCAATGACTTTAAAAAAAAATAGAATACCATCAAGAAAAAAATTGCATTAGGTCAATTGTGGTTGCATTAGGCCAGTTCTGTGTTTTGTTTTTTTTTCTGGGGCAGTTTGCTGCTCATTTACTTAAAACATTAAAAATATTTTAAAAGAGCTTTACATGGCCTTTTTTCCCTTTAATAAATAAAAGATCCTTTAAAAAATTAATAGTTCTTTAAAATGGAAGCTTCTTGTTTCTGTTGCTCCTGCCCACAGCTCTGATTTCACGTAACGTGGGCCTCTTAGAGTCACGCCATCAAATATTCAGAGCAGGGTGGAGTCACCGCCTGCTGCCGTTCCGAAATCCCGGAGGCACGGAGCCAGTTCCCCCACCGCAGAGGAAAGGAGGTCACGCAGCTCTGCCCAAGCACAAAGCCACCTCTCTTCCAGGGTCTAAGTGATCTGCTTTCCTAGACAGAAGATGGAAACTCGTACCCAATTTTCCTGGAGCACATCAAAGACCTTTCTTTGTGTCCTTTTTATGGCACCGCTGGGTTACCCGCTGCGGAGGAGCCCACCCCAGCTCCTGCCCCGCTGGGGACCGCCGTGTGGGACGGCGCAGCTCTGTCACCCCCTCCGTCCCCGCAGCAGAGCTGCACTGTACCGCGCCGAGGACAAGACCCCCACCACCCTACAGAGGGTGAAACGCAACTTTTGCTGCCTCCTCCTTTGCAGATTGCCCCTGCCAACCTCTACAAAAAGCTCTCTACGCTCTCTTTTGATGTCAAAGACTTTCCAGCAGTGTCAGGGGCTGACAGCCTGAATCCCAGCTGGGTCGCATCCCCCCGACCCCACAAAATTAGTTCTGAAGCTTCCAGCACTGCTAGTGCAGTTTCGAGGTGCAATCCCCTGGATGAAAGCAAAACTGCTTCTTTAAACCTCATTATTAAGATTTTCATTAACGGCAACTCACACATTAACGATGTACCCACTAAGTCATCCCTTCAAATCTTTTTGGTACAAATACGTCTGCTTGCTATAGTTTCTGACTCTGGTCAAGACTCTCCGGTCCACTTGCTTTCCTAGTCTGCTTCTATCCTCTGCTGAAAGACAATTAGGATGAATGAAGATTGTTAAGGGAAAATAGGTTTCACTGAATAATGAATAATAAAGGGACAAAGGAGTCGATGCAATGGGTGTAACATGGGTCGCTTCCACAGTGGCAAGTGTGTGTACACAGGTTTGACAGGCATAACAGTGCAGCAAGAGACAGGAATAACATATTACCCCATGAAACTCCTAGAGAGAGATTCCAGCAAGGAGAAGACAAAGAAAGAGCAGAGTCAATGACAAACAGAAACATAAGGCTGTACAGTGCACCCCGTGCGCATCCGGAGATGTGCTGGCAGATAACCCCATCCCCTGTCCCACACCCACCACCTCAACCTGCAGAAAAACCAACAAGCAACAGCGCGGCTCTGACCCACACATCCCCCACCGCACCAGCCCCGCGGCCGCCGAGCAGACGGGGCAGATGCACCCTCATCCTTCCGACACTGCGGGAGGCGATAACTCCGATTGTTTGGCAAATGCTGTTTGCTTTTTCAGAGAGCAGCGTGAAATTCGGTGCGGCTGAGCCACCTTTCTGTTGTTGAAAATGTAAAACCGCAGTCTCCCTGCTGCTATTCATCAGCTATTTCTACTGAATGAGTACGATTTTACACCTGGGGCTGATAAATTTTGATGACAAATTTACTAGCTTGCTTTAAGCCCCTCTACTTCTATTTCCCTAAAGACTAAAACATGTCCGTGTGTTTGTGGCGTGTTTATCTCCAGAAAAAGAAAGGCATTTCTCTTTGAACTACAGTGCTACATGGAAGGAATTATTTTATTATCATCATCAACAGTATTGTTAATGTTTCTAGCATCTCACTGGGGGCCTTGCTTTAGAAAAAAAATGGTTTTGAACTACAGTCAAGCACAGAACAGCTTCTGGAGAGCTACAGGCAGAAGGTAGAGTGATAGCTGGTTTGGGAGGCTGAGATGGATTTTATGAACCTTGGAGCAATGACTGATACCATCTCATACGCCTTAACAAACATCGGCTGGTGCAATATTCCAGACGGAAGCGTTTCTGGGAGCTCTGTTTTCCCCAGGTTTTCAGTGACGTGGTGATTCACCAAGAAGTTGTTTCGCGTCACCTTCACTGGACACCAATAAGGTCAAGAACATACATGAGAATTAAATCACACCCACTGAGTGACAATCGTGTATTCTTGCAAACAGAAACTGGTAACAGCCACACTAAATACATTTTTACAGTGACACTGATGACGAGTGACAAGACTGCAGTGTTTGCTAGAAAAAGCCCACTAACAAAACAACGAAGATTACCCAGTTTATTCTCCAAAAGCTCTTTTTCAGGATTACCAAAATTCAGCAGGCTCGGTACGTCCGTCTGGTTTAACCAAACAACTCAGTTGAGCCTAGGACAGGACTATCTATCCAATTTTCACCTGAACAGTCTGAGATTTGTCAGTATTCATAACTGGACTAGCGGGAACTGGATTTCCCGCTCTCGGGTTAGAGCAGAGATACTGCAAGTATTCTCCGACTTGGATGTGAACGCTCTCGCTACCAGCTGAAACACGGACACGTAGCACAGGTTGCAGCGATAATAAAAATCACAGCAGAAATTCATTTTTTTTCCAAGTCTCAGAAACAGGTTTGAGTCTCTTTCATCTGGGAGGCAGTAAATAGGCAGGCAGGTTTTATGCATTCGCGTTCTGTAAATCCCCGCTCAATACTTACTCAAAGAGCACGTAAAATGGAAGCAACTTGGGGCACTCTATTATGAAGCACAGTCAGGGGATGTACAAGTAATTTATTTAGAGGCTGATGAGGTGCTGTTAGATATTCATGGCCCAATGCGAGCAATAGAAAACCTGAGCACAAAGAGACTCAGAAGGACTAAAAATTATTCATTTTAATCCGTAACTTGTCCAAAAGAAAACCGTGTTCAGCGAGAAGATGTTTTAAAGGCAAACCCTGACATTTGTTCTCACAGCACACGGAGTTGTGCTGACAAAATGCCCCTTCTCCCAGTCTGCCTTGAAAGTTTGCGTTCTTATAGGAAAAGAGAAATATTCAGTGAACCCCAGACTCGGGTAATATTGGTTTGCAAACTAATACTTGTGATAAATATTATTTTACTTTTATACATCTTCAATTCGGAGAAGCTCTGTTAACTTGCTAAACTTTTTTTCAGTAAGTTTTTGCTTAACTGAGTCTGACCACATCCAGTTCTGAAAGATGTTATACTAATATATATGCAGGGAAACTAAGCCACACAGGTGCCTAGTCACTTATAAAGCAACCTGGTTTGGGATGTCCAATTTTAGGTAAGCAAGACTTTCACCAGACCAGCTGACAACCTTGCTTACAACAGAGCACTTTGTTCCGCTGAAAAGCAAATTTCTAAGGAATAGGGACAAAGTCTTTAAAGAGAGGAGCGCAACGTCCCTCTGAAAAACTTATATTGGGCATGACTTGCTTCAAGGTCGAAACAATTCTTCGCTGTAGAATTGGGCACAGAAAGCCCAGTTCTCAAAAAATTGCCACTGTCAGCTTCACTGAAGGACAACAAACGATGTGGTTTGATCATCTAATCATTTACAGGGAGGCTCTGGTCAGAGCTGAGAAAAAAACAGAAGTATAGAATTAAAGAATTTGTATATATGTCTTAAGGTGCATTTCCCCCATTGCATCTTTAATACAGCCTATTTAGAAAAGGGGGAAAAAAAAGAAGTGTGACTCTGTTGTCAACTGGCTCAAAAATCATACCAGGAGTGTCAACTCCACCTCCTTCTGTTGAACCACTCCATGGTCAAGTTAGTTTAGATGTTTTTAATCCAGAACTTGCTGTGAAGAATAGAAGATCTAAAATACACATCTCAGCCCTTGATGTGAAAGGAATTTTGACACCTCGGAAGATGAAAAACTCCTGAGAAATATTCCAGGCCAACGTTGCCAGAAAGGTCCCAAAAACTTTTTGTGCTGTGAGGGGCACGGTGGTATTTTCCATCAGCAGAGCACGTAAGAGGAGCAGTGGCTGTGGCTGTCTGCCTAAAAAATGACTGCCAGTCGAAAATATCCAAGACACGCTTCCGCAGTTCCTTGACAAAGGTGAATGCTTTTTCTCATTAGCAAGTAAAACACTGCTAATTTCATCGCCTTCTCTAATCATCATGTCAACAAACAGGTGAGTGGAGTTTGGGCATGGGCTGCTAAACGTTCACTGTAATTACTCAAGGCTAATTTAGCAGAAGATTAATCTGGCCCAGTCCTGTAGCCTGTTTCCAGGTCATCTCCCAGAATTTCTCAGGAAAATATTTGCAATACAATTATTGCGTGGTCCAGAACTACAAGTGGAAAATTTCTTTTCACCATCCAACCCTGAGCTCCCCCAAATTCTGAAGAACCTGCGTTGCTCTTCCTCTGGTCTCTTCTGAGAAAAAATGGTCAAACCAAAAGCTAATCTTCCTTTTTAAAATGCAATTCCTCTCTGTCTGTTGCTCAGAATCCTCCGTGATATTAGAGCAGCACATGGAACGTTATTTAATGTCATAAATAGAGAGCTATGATGGAGGGAGGGAGCAATTAGCCTTAGAAGTAAAACTCACTGGCAACGCAAGTACAGTGAATGAGAGAGGAGGAGGAGAAAGAAAAACCAAAGGTGTATGAACCAGAAATATCCATGACTCCAGAAGTAATGTTTTGTAAGGAGTTCACTGAGTTATCAGCCAACTTTATTAACTATTTTTTCATAGAAAGAAAAAATTTTAAAACAACTGCCTGAAGACACTGGACTGCCACAAACTTTTATGATATGTCCTTGAAAAGAAGTTGGCCAAACAGTCACAAAAATCTCGAATGAACAGTGAACGGCCTCACCCTAAAGCTGGGAGAATTTTCAAGATATTTTACAACACAAATTTAGGGATTTATTTTTTGCTTCCCCCCCAGCTACAAAATGATAAAGCGCAAAAACTGAACATTTCGCTGAGAAATGGAGCCACAAACACTACGCTTCAACCAGCTCTGTGCCAAGGTCCTGCCTCCTCTGCAACTTATTTCCTAGAAATGGGGACATTAAGGAAAATGTACTTACGAGAAGGCAAATGCCACCAAGGCCCCACTGACCACAATGAAGTCCAGGATATTCCACAGGTCACGGAAGTAGGAGCCAGGGTGGAGGAGCAGCCCCAAGTCAATCATCTTCAGAGGAAACACATCAAAAGAAAGAGTTTTAATAAAACAAGGAGTGAATCAACACCGCCAAGGTACAGAAGAAAATCCTTCCTCAAACGACCCTCCCAAGCTCTTCCTCAGGGCTTCACCGCAGCAGGGCGACACCTCGATGCTTAGTCAAGCTGCCCAACTCCAATGGGCACAAACCCAAACCAAAGCTGAAGCCAATAAACCGTAACCAAACCCCAAGGGATAAAAGTACTAACTGCTACATAGCATTCTTTGCACAGACACGCATTAATTTATGGGAAAGGCAGTCGGTCTGAGAAATGTCCAAATAGTTTAATTTTATTCTACCCCAATCCTACCAGATTGGTAGGAATTAACAACTGGAAGGGTATTACACAACAAAACACAGAGAGGGGGGGGAAGACCCACAGGCAAATGCCCCAGCCAGAGAAATGCGCCGCTCCAGAGCACTTGCTGGAAGATGCTGCTCAGCGCAGCAGCCTGGTGTCCTTCTGCACGGGACCGCGTCTCCTTACGGTGCTGCTAGTCCATCTTCTGGATCTGAGTCTCAAAGTGTCCGCTAGACATTTTATCTGCTTTCCTGAGAGCTCTACAACTGCCTGCGTAAGGTTGCTTTCCTCACCTAGCTTCACATCCTTCCACTGAACAAACAAGGGAAAATCTGTTTTGTATTCCGCATCTCTTCTGCATCTTGCTCTGACAGTAAAAACTAACGCTGCCATTACTCCAAGGATAAATCCTGACTTTACGAGAACTGTGCTTTCTGCAAAGTTACTGCCCCACAGGTTTAGCAAAGCCCATTACCCTGCTGGGTAAAGTTAAAAGACAAATCCTCAACCTTTTGAAACGTGACAAACCAAGAATCAGTCGCTGGTAATATTCCTGATCAGCATCACTGGGAAAGGGAAGAATCTGATGCGTCTCGGAAAGGTCTGTCCGCTCCTGTGTCCTGAGCCACACACAGACATTTCTGCATCAGGCACTCACATGTCTTATCCTCTTACACAACCACAGCCACTAAAGATACTCCCACTTTCCTCCATGAAATGTGAGATTAAAGACAGCAGGAGAGCTGCTACAGAAAGGCCTCTGTTGTGCACTGGCTACTTCCGAGTGCTGTTCCATCCCCACCGCCGCTCCAGGCGCCGCGGGAAGCTCTGTCGTGTTCCACCCCCTCTCCAGCTGCCCCGAGGTAGGTGAGCGAAAGGGGAGGTGAACCTTCCTGCTTGGAAAAACTCTTACCTTGATCACCATCTCAAAGGTAAAGACGCCCGTAAAGATATAATCCAAGTATTTCAGAGCCTGAATGGGAAAGAGAAACGCGTATTAGGGGAAACCATCTGCACAGTAAAAAGTCTGTTCTAGCAATCGTCTGTTTGCTACCATGGGTGAATGTCATCTGATGGGAGGTTTTCACATCGTTTAGGCACAGACTTGAATCATCTGATTCAAGCAGCAACATTTTTTCCAGTCCCTGCCAGACTGCGGTGTGCGTGCCCATGGGTTGCTCCAGTGCACCTGCGGGTATGGCAGGTTTAATAAGGCAAAATGAGTATTTCAAATCAAAACATTTAAATATCCTTTCCTAAAGAGCTTATTTGCCAGCACCTGCGGAGCAGCCTGGGCTTCTCTTCTGCTGTAGCTGATGACAGTGTTATTAAAGACCTTGGGAGAGCAAAACAGTGATAAAATCCTTTTTGAAAACCTGATTCCACAGTTATTAAGGATGAGGAAGAGAGATTGCTCGTAGCTACTTCAGCTCATTACTGATACAGGGATTTGTGGATCCTTCTCTGGAAAGAGCTAATAGTGACCCGATTCAGACGCAGGAGCCCAGACCAGGCAATTCCTGCGCGGACCTGCTCTGCCGACCTGTGCTCTGAAGCTATTCCGCTCCTCAATCTACTTAAGGGGTGGATGAACACAGACTCCTCAGTACACATCCTGGTAAACGCAATACCAGTCTGTTCAAATACCTATAGTTTTACCTATAAGTTTTAAAATAATTCTGTGGACGGGAGGCACCTATTCAAGGTCAGATTCATATGATTATACATATCGAATGGATATTGAGTCAATATAAATATCCCACTATATCCACATACTGCGATGACCTACACTGAAGAGTCCAGAATTAGGCAACTGTGTCTTGCGATTTCTATACTTCATCTTCAGTTCTGTAGACACCCAGTTGTCCATGTAACGGTAACCAGCCCAGTGCCAATGTCCTCCTGTGAATCTGCTTGACAAAGGGCACCAAGCTCTCCGCTTCACGAGCGCTGCTGGGCCGCGTGCTCTCGTGTGGAACATGGCACACTCCTTCTTCTGCTCATAACAGCACCCAGCTGTGAAGTCTCTGACTTTGGTTTGACACTCATGGATAAGTCGATTTTCTACTAATTCTAGGAGGTTGCTACTACGCCTCACCAAGATACAAAGCTATATCTGGTTTTACTTCCTCCGGCTCTGCTCTAGCAGAAACAGGGGATCTTAGGATAATGTCAGCCCCGGCTTGTGACTGGGGACGCCTTTCTCACCGTGGAATGGTGTGTAAGCTTTGCAGGCTTCTTCCACATGAGCCGCACCGGCCAAACAACCAGTGATTTCCAAGTTCTCAAACTTGGACGTGGTTGTAGTAGCAGAAAGGGACAGGAATTATGAGCATTTGGATGGTGTAACAAGCTAATTTGAGTATGTTATTAAGGAAAGCTCCAGTTCTGCACTTGCCAGCGCACCGTGTGATCCTTTGGAGATGGGAATGGACATGCCATGTGCGTAACTGCTGGGAGAAGCAGACCAACTTTATTCTGGCCACGTTGGTTGGTACTCACATCGTTCCTCGGTGACTCCGCTTGGACAGGGTCTTCTGCAGCCAGGGCTATGCTGCTGAGGGCTATAACTATGAGGATGACCATCTCAAAATAGCGCAGGTTGACAATGTAGTGGAAGAGACGCCGAATCCTGCAAACAACACGAGCACATGGAAGGGCTACTGCAGGTGCTGTAAGTCAAGCACTGGGGTAAAAAAAGACTGGCAGAAAGACAATGTTCATCAGGAATATCACCTTTAGGATTGCTAATACAATAATAGTAAGAAAATAAAAACTAGGATCAACAGCTTTAAGCTCCAGTTTGCAACAGATCTGTGGTGAGATTTAAAAACAGACATTTAACATCTCTGCACTGCTCTCTACCCCTCTGGAAAGCAATGACACCCATCTATCAAAAGGGCATTGAGACCTTTCAAGCATTCGGACTCAATTCTACAAATTATTTTTATATATTCCCCAATCCTTTTCACTGTGAACTCACAAGCTAAAGTCCTGCAAGTTCAAAACTAGTTTTGAAATCCTTTTAATAACAACTAATCCCTTTAAAATTGAGCTATTTGCTATGCGCTGTGAGACTCTTAGCTGAAACTGCCTTCATAACTATGAGTTTCACTTCTAGCAATCTCTCTTTTGCCAAGTACCTCTGCCTGCACTTCATTCTAGGCTATGTTTTATAAGCTGCACAAACACTTTACAGTAATAGATCTGATTACCTTAACTTAATCTTTTTCTTCACAAATTGTGTCCAAGAAAAGTGACAAATGCTTCAATTTCTAAGGAATGTAAAACTATTCACAAATCTCAGCTAATAACTCTATCTGACCACAATTCACAAATACTTAACTGCACAGAGAACTCTGTATTTGCACCATATTTGTCAGCTGAATAACGGGCTTAAGTTCTGCCTGAGAATCAAATTATATGTGTAACTTGCCAACAACCTTGTTATCTGAGAATGTAATTCAGTTACTATATCACATTTTCTCTAAGCAAATATCTGAACAGTTAGAATTAAAATTTATTTTTCACATCCACTTATATATTCATTTTCTCTGGATTGCTAATGGATTCAGAATGAAATGGAGTCACAAATACCAAGGAAACAGATTTGATACAAAACAACATGAAGAAAAGTGCTTTTGTGGATCCCTTAACTCGGGTTATCAATCTGACAGAAGGGGATTACCATCTCTGTGCTCTATGAATCCATAGAGAGGAAAGGCTATGTTTTCAATAATATTTGTGACCATAATTCATGCATCAAACTCAATTCATCAAAGAAATAACAAGCCCCTATTTTCAGATCTCCCATCATTCATAACCAGCAGTGAGATGCAGCAGTGTTTGTAAACTGCCAGCGGTGTTTGAGAAACCCTTTTAAACGCACGGCGGTTTTGAGAGGGTGGGGGGCACTTGGAAAGGAACACATTGCATTGATGCTTCCCAGAAGTGTTTTGCCCACCAGCAGCACCCAGGTCTCGCATCCCTAAGCTGAGGCTGGAAGGGAGAGAGTCAGCAATGGATGTGGTGAAAACCTTCACCCCCTGGAAAGGTGGAAGACCTCTCTTGAGAAGTTAACACCAGCCAAAACACCTGAGGGCAACCAGCTGGGCCTGCATCTCACCCAGAGGAAGAAAAACAAGTTGCTGACATTCCTAGAGCTTGGTCTTCATCTCGTTATTTCCCCTTGGCCCTGTGTTATAATACCTCTTTGGTTTTAGAATGGTCTTTCTTTTTCCAATGGTCCTTTCCAGGGAAGGTGTGTGTGTGCTGGAGAAAACTGCAAGGTGACTGAAATCACACAGCAAATCCTAGACTATGAGGCTCAGAAGGCCATAACTGCAGGATGAGGTGAGAGAAGACAGCATACATATGAAACAAAAAAGTCTTCCTGCTTCTCTGTCTGCCCAGTCCACTCCTCAGCTCAGACCCTTTTGGCCTTGGGACCATCTAAGCTTCCCCCTCTGCTCTGCTGCCTTTAGCATTTTGCAGCTCACACTTGGTTTAGGTGGTTATCACTCCATGACAAAAAGACTCGAGCTACCAAATATTAGGGAAATACTGTTTCCTTATCCGACCAGACAGGGGCCAAGCTCCGTAATTCAAATTTGATGCAGAAAGTATGATTACACTATAACTGTACCTCATCTTAATCACAGAATCACAGAATGGTTTGGGTTGGAAGGGACCTTGAAGATCATCCAGTCCCACCCCCTGCCCTGGGCAGGGACATCTCCCACCAGCCCAGGTTGCTCCAAGCCCCGTCCAACCTGGCCTTGAACACCTCCAGGGATGGGGCAGCCACAGCTTCTCGGGGCAACCTGCCCCAGGGGCTCACCACCCTCACAGGGAAACATTTCTTCCTCATATCTCATCTCAATCTCTCCTCTTCCAGTTTGAAGCCATTCCCCCTCATCCTATCACTGCATGCCCTTGGAAAAAGTCCCTCTCCAGCCTTCTTGTAGGTGCTCTTCAGATACTGGAAAGCTGCTAACGCTCTCCACTTCCTTCAGCTGCCTTTTATGTGAATTCAAAGGACATGATGCCTTACTTGCACTAGGACAACGCTACCACAGTGTTCTGAAAAGGGAAAACTTTCTGGGCTATCAGCCCAGTTGTCCTAAAGCATCCTGAGGTCTGACGGGCAAAGGGGAAACACATCAGTGTCTCTCGTGGGGCTGAGACAAAAGGGGCACATGTTGAGTCTTAGTTTGTTTCCTTAGGGGATGAGATTAGATGAGCAGGAGTTTGGGGTCATTCTCCCTCTCCAACAGCTGGCATTGACAGACAATCTCTAAGTTCTCCCACTGAGGAATTCCTTCTGCACTGATAGCTGTACCGTCTTGGAGCATGCAGGGCTGTAGCCTGAACTGCACAGCCTGCACCCGTGTTACAGAGCGTATTCGGGCCGCCTACTGTCCGGGGTGCCACGGCGTCCGCCACGGATGCTTTTCTGACGTCAAGGACGAGCACGCAGAGCAGCCCCTTTTGCTCCACCGACTGCACAGGCAGCCGGGGTCTCACCGTCCCAAGTAGCAGGAGGCGTAGGAGCACTCATTCTTCTCTTGAATGGAGGTGCCAAAGGAAGGGCCTGAGTCCACCTTGGGTGTCTGAGCGTGCAGAGTACAACCTCAGAGAGCATCTGGGCTCTGCAAAAAGGCTACCTGCGCCAGAGAGAAACCATCACCCCTGCTCCCAGCAGACCCCTGGCTTGGCAGAAGTTTCAAACACCCTCCGTTGCTCTAAATTACTCCTTAAAATGACTCACAGGCCTTCGTGCTACATCTATTACAAGCCCCGCTGCTCTCGCCTGGTCCTGCAGCCCTTCAGAGAGACGCATTCAGTACGGACAGGCTTTGAGTACAAAGCTCCCCATGAGGCAGAGACGCCTGAAGCGGAAGAAATGCTGCAATCCCAACAGATCCCCCAAGCCCTACTCTCAGCCTTGGCAAATGAACAACAGTCACGTCTTCCCAGAAAATCAAAGTTTTCAGTGCTGCGAGGGCACTAGCACGGAAGGAGCAGGAGTTCCAGCTGAGGAACCCGCAAGAATTTGCTGACATCAAAACCAGCCCCCAACCTGCTGCTCCTGACAGATGGTGCCTTCTCCCAGTGCTCGTCCGTACTCCCACCCGCGAGCGATCGACAACTGAGCAAACAACTGCCCGCCTCACCGTCAGCAGGGCAGCCAGGAAGGGTCCGCCTAAAGCGTCGGGTTTTTTCCTACCCTGGCAATTTATTCCCCCGGGAAAGCTCAGCTGAAAGGCAGCATCTGCTCCGCAACCTACATAAGCTTTTCTTTAATTTCCCAATGTGTTTGACTGGCAGAGATGAAGATCGAGCTAACGTCGTCGCTTTGAATACCCGCGCTGGAAGTACCTGTAACCCATATCACGGAGTCAGAGGACTTACGGATTTGTAGGACTGAGGATGAACATGGAACTGTAAGGCAAGATTGGTTTAGGCCCATTTTTCGTCAAGTCATCGACGTCTTTCTTCTCCTCTGTTTTACTTTCAAATTCAACGTTGTTCACTGAAAGGTGAATTTAAGGAAACAGAAATGAGAGAGTAAAAAACATCTCTGCAGTCTTCACACAGCGGCTGCCTGCAACAGCTGGATATGCAAACCACGCAGCTGGGATAGCAAACAGCCTTGGAATATGTTGATTAAACGTGATGAACAATCATTTGATTATTATCGCCGCTATTTACTACAGTACGATATACACTGCAATTATACTCCTTAACTGCTGCACTGATGAGCAATGTATCGGAATCGGCCAGGAAACGGAGATGCCCAGTGCAGGCAAACAAAGCAATCTTACATGTATTTACACAAGAGCTGCCAAAATCCCAATCCAAAATACCATAAATCATTAGGGAGAGAGGATCGGCTAGGGATTCACGGACAGACAGACGGAAGAGTCTAACCAACCGCATAATTCTTTTCCCATAGATCAGTAGCAGGATTGTCTTTGGAACGTGTAAAAGAGCAAAATCATAGATGAACTTTAATAATTTTGGGGCTGAGACTGCAGAATTTCCCCGCATTAGGAACAGGGACTTGGAAGGGACTGACGGGGCGTCCCAGCTCCGTGCCTGCACCGCGCACCCTGGCTCCGGCAGAGCTCCCCCGCTATAAAGGTGTCGAGCTCCAGGTCACATCAGGTTTTTAATTTGCATCATCCCCTTTTTGGAGATTGTTCTGGACCTCACTCCCAAAGGTTAGAAAAACATTCTCTAATTTCCATCATAAGTTTACTTGCAGTGGCTTTACAGGATAATTTACTTAAGATAATTTCCAATATGTGAACTGGAGAAAGGTTTATGCTGCAAATTCTTTTCTTAGACAGATATCTACACTTGTGTATTAATTCACAGGACCCAGAATCAAAAAAAACCTCCACCCACTTACAATGTGTTAGGTGCAGGGTTTTTATTACTTTTTATTTTGTTTTGCAGCAAAATGACATTTCATTGTGTGTGAGCGACACGTTCAATAAACCCTTCACCGTATCTCAAGCCAGATACGCAGGAAATGGCCAGGAACGCGAGAGGCTGATAAATTGTGACTGACGGGAACTCAGTATTGCAATATAGTAAAATTACCATTTAAGAAAAAAGAAGGCGGTGGGGGAGACAAAGCTTGTGTGGCTGACAATACAGCGAAGAAGCGGGTAGAGAAACCGCTACCTTTGGCTGTGCCCCTTGGAAAGCAGAGCCCTGACAGCCTCTGACCTAATGTGGACCTCTTGGATTTCACTCTGCACCTCTCCTTGCCCCCACACCCCCCCACACCCCCCCAGCTCTCTGGACTTCTCTAGGCTGTGCCTGCACTGCAGGGGATGAACCACAAACTGGTGAGAACAGGCTGGTGACTACAGAGCAGAGTGTCCGGCTCTGGAGCTGCCAACATAGGAGAGACATGGACCTGGTGGAGCGGGGCCAGAGGAGACGCCGGAGATGCTGGGAGGGCTGGAGCCCCTCTGCTGGGAGGACAGGCTGGGAGAGTTGGGGGGGTTCAGCCTGGAGAAGAGAAGGCCAAAAAGGGGAGAGCTCAGAGCCCCTTCCAGTGCCTAAAGGGGCTCCAGGAGAGCTGGGGAGGGACTTTTTCCAAGGGCATGGAGTGATAGGATGAGGGGGAATGTCTTCAAACCGGAAGAGGGGAGATTTAGATGAGATATGAGGAAGAAATGTTTCCCTCTGCGGGCGGTGAGCCCCTGGGGCAGGTTGCCCCGAGAAGCTGTGGCTGCCCCATCCCTGGAGGTGTTCAAGGCCAGGTTGGACAGGGCTTGGAGCAACCTGGGCTGGTGGGAGGTGGCCATGCCCAGGGCAGGGGGTGGGACTGGGTGGTCATAAAGGTCTCTTCCAACCTAAACCATTCTGTGATTCTAATCATCTTGGGCCTGTCTTCAGAACGGTGTAAATCTGCGCTGACAGACCCAAGACATAGAGCTCTGGAAAAGGACAAGCTAGGATGGATTTACTGAAAAAGTGAAATGTAGAGGATGGCAAGGAGCTCTAAAATTCCACAATGTGCAGGAACCCAAAGCAGCAGGGTCACACCACGGATGCTGCGATAGCTGTGCAGCCATGAAAGACCTGCTCGCTCCACAGCGGGGTCAGCTAATAAGCCAAGACGCGTGACTTCAGACTGTGGTGTTGAATGCAATGCCACTGCCCCCTCTGTCCTTTGCCAAGTGATCTGTGACCTCTCAGGCCCCTGGGACACCAGAAGAACCATAGGACAGCACTGCCGGAGTGGCAGCTTGCAGCACGGCAGCAGCGGAAGGTGATAAAGCAGAGGACCTACTCCCGTGTACTCACAAGGTCCTGAAAGGTTCGCTGCAGAAGTTGCTTATTTTGCTGCACAGCACTCAGTTACCACATTTTGTTGGTTTTCTTGCTTTTTGCATCTTTCCCTTATGGAAAGATACACGGATGTGCTCTGGCGAGCCATCTCCAGAGAACCTTACACGGTGTTTTCCAGTGCCACCAGCTGACCCTCACACTTTGGGTTCCTGCAGGCTGCAGGAACTGTAGAGCCTATATCAACAAGAAGTTCTCCCGTCCATCTATTACAAGGATGCTGGTGGCCAGGAGAACCCCCACCACCCAGTGCGTGCTGTCAGCTCCTTGGACAGTTAGTCCTTTTCTGGCAATTTCCCAGCAAAAAGCAGGGGGACAAAGGCACTCACTTGGTATGACAGTGGTCTCCCCCGGCGGGGCAGTGATAGTGACGGGGATGTTCACAGTGGTGGTTTTGTCCAGAGGTGGCTGAATCATCCGCGTCACGTTCTTCTGGTTGTCAGCGTCTTCTGGCTGCTCCGGGACTTTCTGCAGGTAGGTGCTGGGAAGGGTGTGCACGGGGACGGTCACGCTTCCACTAGCTTCAATCTCACACTGGTTCTCCCTAAGGGAGAAAAGCAGATTTTATTAAATACGGCCCAAGAAGGATTCAGAGAACGTATGTACCCCGGTGCCGCACCTCTCGCTAGGTTTCATAGACTGTGTTCTCCAACGAAGTCCTTTGCAGAAGAGTCACTGACTGCAAGACAACTTACTGATAGCACAGTATGTGACCTTTTCCTCTGAGACCTTCAGAACCATCATCAAAGCACAACATGAAGAGCAACTATGCCACCAAATGTCACTTTATTCAGCATAATGAGACTCGGAACCGGGGTTCATAAGCAAAGACCACATGGCACTTGCATTAACTCTGTCATTAGCTTTCCAGCATCAGCTGGTTTCGGAATGAAGTCTGACATTCTGCTTCTTAATGTTCACCTGAGGGGTTATTTAAATGTGGTGGTTCTCTTTTCCAGTCCTAAACCCCTCTGTAACGTCACCGTAAGTGGCTAAATAGCTCCTGCGTTCCTCTGCAGCAGTGGCTGTGTCTCAGTGAGGAGGAACGTGAGCTCGTGCACGTGATCAAACTAAACAGTATGCAAAGTGTTTTGAAATCCATCTGAAAGGAAGATAATATAGACAGGAAAATTATTATCTCAGTGCCACTCACAGCTCTCCACGGTGACATGAACTCTCTTCTAAAGAATCCCAGTGAAATTTCTTTTCCATCAGACTAATAAAGCTGCAAAGGCAATCTATCCTTCTTTATTAACTACTCTAAATGCTTCACAAGTACTATTTTTTCTCACTTGACTGACGTAAGAATTAAACCAAATGGGGTACATCATTGTTCTTAATGGAAGAAGCCACGTGCTGTAACAACTGGCGATGCAGCTGACAGGCTCACCATTAAAAAAAAGGAGAAAACCAAAGGGCTCTAAGCAAGACTGGATGCCATTTAAAAGTATGTCCCTCAGAAACTTCCTTCAGAGGCTGTGAAATTCGTTGTTCCTCTTTATGTCCCAGAGGGCCTGTTGGTATTTACACCAAGGATATTTTCGTCCTTAAACCTGAGCTGTTCTATGGGCCACCATGGACCGAAATCATGTTTGGGAGCCTCTGTCATTGCTGATTTTAAGCAAAACGGGACTGCAGGTTATGGTGGTAGATGGTGTGAGTGCAAGAACAGCAGGGAACGCTGTGGGGCAGGGAATAAGTCATTCCCTAAAAGGTGTTTGGGGTCTCGTGGCCCCCGAGCCGTCCCAGGGACGTGTCTGGCCACACGACGCGCACTTACTTGGGCTGATGATTCCGGTGCTCCTTCTCGCCAGCCTCCCCCTCCTTCTCCCCGTTCTCCTTCTCCACCGAATCATACGTCGAGAGTGCTCTGTTCCTGAACCTGTGCCGTCTGTGAGGCTCTTCTCCGTTCTCGCCCTTGGACCCGGGCTCTCCTTCCCTGTTCCCAGACCTCGACCCTCCCCGGTGTCGGGAACGCCGCTCGCTCCTGGCCCCGTTGATGGTCCCGTTGCCTTCCTTGCCTTGCCGTTCGGCAGAGTGCCGGTGAGTCCGATGCCTCCGGTGCTCCTTCTCGGCACCTTCTTCCACCGACCCCCGGCGATGGTGCCTCTTTCCCCCTTCCTGGCCCCTGCTGCGCTCACTTTTCCCTTCCTTACCCCCCCCTTCCACCTCTTTGCTGCTGCTCCTGTGCTGCCTGTGCCGCTCCTCCTTATTGTTGGCGCCAGATTCCCCGTTCTCCTCCTTGGTCACATCGCCCTTCTCTTGCTCTCCCAATTTCTCCTTATCGCGATGCCGGTGGTGCTTTCGCGGAGCTTCTGCCCCATCAGTGGAGCTGACTTTGGTCTGCTCCACCTCCTGCACGTCCACGGGGCTCAGCTTGCTGATGTTGTTCCTGCCTTCGCTCCTCGGCTCTACCACCAGCGGCCGATCCAAATGAGTCTTCATGTCTGGCCTGATGTGAAGGGTGGTGGCGTAACGCACCCGCTCCTCCGGATCCAGCTCGTTGTACAGCGCCTCGCAGCTGGCGCGGAAATTGTGCATCCGGATCTGGCTGGTCCTCTGCTCCCAAACCGACTTGGATTTGGAGGAGTTCTGCTGCTTGCTAAGGAGGGGAGGAAGGTGAGAAGTTAGTATCCAACTTTGCACCAATTAACCAAAAAAGCAACCCCCCCAAAAAAGAAAGAATTAGAGGAAATTTTCAGCTGAGACGGGGGATTAGAGGGTTGAGCCAAAGAAATTATAGGAATGGAGAGAGAATGGCTGGCGGAGAACATGAGCGGGGAAAGCCAGCAGGATCGTCAGTGTTAGTTTGCCCCCACACGCGTTAGACATGATGAAACGGGCCCTCTGGAAAGGAGTTATCTTGATTTCGAAAATCTGGCCATGCCCCCTTGGAAGCCTCTGGTATAGTCGGAAGGGTTAAAGTCATTGCGCCGAAAAATCATGTAGCACAGCCAGAGCTTTCCAACAGTCCAGAAGGCTTCCCCAAAGTTAACAGCACCCTTCTCCCCACCTAGAAATGTCTGGATGAGCAAATTAGTGGCAAACCGGAGGAGTTGGGGTGGCGGGGGGAGCAAGGGGAAATGAAACCTGCCCCTGTGGGTCTGAGCCTGAGCACCACCAGCCCCTTCCCTTACAGCCAGCCAGAGGGGCCGCTTTTTGGGCTGTGCTGCCCCGTTGGCTACGGCACAGGAGAGCTGTTGGTCTAAGCCCGCGGCATCCTTCCCAGCTGAGGATGGACCATCCAGCCCGAGCATCACTGAAGTCTGGAAAAGTACAAGTAAGAAAGGAAAACTGCTCTGTGTACCGTGAAAAGGCCCCAGGGACTGGGACAGTCACTCGTAGATGCAGGCGTGATGACAGCACCTCATCCCCTGGAGAGACCTGCTCTTTTCTGCCTCTCTCATCTATTATAATGAGGATACCTCCATTGGCATTGCCTTAATGCTTGGATTTTTCAGCACAGCGCTTGGTTTCTGACCACTGCATCCGAATGGGTCACCCTCCCTAACCCACACGGGAAGGGAGGGCTTTTCTTTCTTTCTTCCTAAAGATTGCGAGTCAAATTTCTGCTTATGCATAACATCAAAGCAAACCCACTGGCCTCCGGGGTGGAGTTCTGGCTTTAGCCTGCTGGAGGATCAGCACCCGTTTTCTTCCTTAACGAAACTTCTTCTAACAAAGAGAGGCAAATCCTTTTCCTCCCACCAGCCCGTTCGGATGTCTCCGTTTCCCAGACGTTACGCTGACCGCGGCAGCCGGAGGGGCCGCGTGGGGCTCGCCGACCTCCGGCACTCAACACGCAGCCCAGGAGGGAGGGCAGGCGCATTTTCCTTACGTACTTTCTGGGCTCCCCTGACAATAGAAGAAAGCGGTTTGTGCGTGTGTATGCGCTGATTGGGACTGTCAGGGTCTGTCGCTGCGCCCAGACCCCGGGGGAGGCAGCGTTCCGACGGGCGCATGTAGCACAGTGGGAGCTGTCGGAAAGGCTTTGCATCTCCGAGCTCTGCCGGGGGATCGGTTCTTTAGGGAGGGTGCTGCTGCCTGGCTCTGCTAAAGAAGTAAAAAAAAACCCCTACTTAAGTGCTGACTGCAGCTGGGATGAGGGTGCCCCGGCAGATGAGAAGGGATCTGATTTAATCTAGAAATCAGACTGAGCACAGCTAATCACCAAAACTAAAAATCTGCATCCCTCATTCCCAAGAGGCACATTCTGGACAAATTTTCCACCAGCTGAGTGCCCCACTGACACCACAGCAGAAGAATGGATGACAAAAGTCCCGGTTCTAAATGGAAATGATACCAGAAGGTAGTGGGGACATAGCTTAGAGCCCCACTCACCAAAAACCCCACATCAAAGGGAGAGCAGTAGGGGAGAGCACCCCCAAGCTGTCCCTGCCGCAAGGATGAAGAGCCTCATCAGAGCGGGCAATAACTTGCCGTTTCTTTTTGGTTCAACATTACAAAAGACTGCAACGCTATCGCTCATCAGCAGACTGACTTGGTTTTAGACGGAATCGATGGGTAACACGCAAAGCCTCCTCCGACTGCCCAGACCTGCCGCCCCGTACGAGGATTTCCCACGGGAAGGCACGTGCTCTGCGTCTGCAGCTCTCCACAGTCAGCAGAGACGGGCACAGAGAGACAGAGCCGCCTGGGAGGGGTGTCCTGGCGTGTCCTGTGCATCCTCCGCGCTGGACGGGGTACCGCGCTCTGCAGCGCTCGAGATCCAGCTCAGCTAAAGCGAGCCGGGCTACAGAAATGAACCTCCTCTGTAGCACCCCGGCTCAGGCAAACACGGCAGCTGAGGGCCGTGTACGTGCACGTCTGAGCTCCCCCAGCGCTGCCACCAACCGCGCTTGTTCATGGGGGACATTTCTCACTTCGTAATGAAAGTCCTCAGGGCAGGGACCGGCTTCTGGTTTGCGCTTTGAACAGCCAGAGCGAGCTGTCAACACCGAAGGGAGAGCTAGTAATAACGAGTTAGAGTTGGGAAACTGCCCTTACGCTGACTGAAGCCTTCGATTTATCTCTAAACCAAGAGCACAGAGAAGACCCCAACCGCCTACTCCCCACGCACCATCCCGTGCTCCATTCCCCCGGGACAGGCACCGCGCGGGGGTGGGATGCGAAGCCCCAGCCTCCCCACAGGGGCTCTCCAAAGCAAAACACACAATAGATCATCAGGCTACTTCCACCGCCGCCGCCTCTGCATCAGTGCCTGCGCTGAGCCCATCAAAGCCAAGATATAAAGAAAATCTCCTAAATCAGACGGGATGTGGTGAGGAGGAAGGTCGAGGATGCGGGGCTGGTACCCATCACACAGCAGTGAGGAGCCGCTCGGGACCTGCTGGCTCTGACACAGGACATATCACTTCTGGAGGGTTTTTTTATTTGGGTTTCCTTTATACCACGAGCACAAATCAGCCTTTAAATCATCTCTGAGGTGCTAAAGCTTCCACTGCACATGACTCACGGCCAAATGAAAGGTGCTGCCAGGTACACACGCCCCTGAGAACCTGGAAGAACTGAGTAACACACATATTAACTGAGCCTATTTTGCGAAAATCTCTTCCTTAAAACAGACACTGAAGTTACAGACTCTAATGTCTCAGCATCTAGAAATGAGGTGCATCCTTAACGCCGACACAAGTAGCGGAGGTGATTGCCAAAAGACTGCACCCCGCAGCCACCCACTGGCTTTGGTTCCTGACAAGTCACTGAGCGGGAGGTTCAGAAGTACCGACGGCATCCTTCCTTCTTGCTACGTGAAAAGACACAACAACAACAAAATGCTCAGAAAATAAATTGCAGTGAAAACGCAATGGGGAAAACGTGAAGCCTGCCCGCAAGCTCGTTATTGCATTCAAACCATCAAAACCATCAGGAGCAAGCGACAGTGCGCATGAAGTCTGCTGTAGGAGATGGAAGTAAAGCAACCGAGCAGGTCGGTCCCTCTGGGGACAGTGTTTAGGGTTTTTCAGAGCCAAAGCGGCAGCAACTGGAGGGAATGTGTGGTCTGCTTGTCCAATTAAATTCATCCAACTCTCGCTTTCTACAAGTTCCCACAGCAACAGAACATGGACGTATGTGACAGCTTCTCCTCTCCTGTTGCTCTGCCATACTTCTGCACCGAGGAGAGGTTTGGGACTTATTTATGGCACAACAGGAACGTCACCTTAAACCAAAACACAGTTCTGTTACAACTGCCTGCCTACGAGGACACGGAGCCTATGCACACAGCAAAGAATTGCAGAAAAGATGGAAAAACACAGACAGGGCAAAATCGTTCCCTCTGTTTCCTCCAGCGTTTGGTCCCGTTAATTATTGAGTGCCGCGTGAACTGGGGCAGACACAAACCATCTACAGTACAAGCACGATATGCCACAGCATAGCACGGCCTGTCCAAACTGATTAAAAAAAATGAGGCTTTGTGATAACAAACGTTTCTTTCCACAAGAGAAAACTCTCTATTTATGAAGCCAAGTCCTTATCTGAAATCCTGTACACCGTTCACTTCTTAAAATCCTTCTCAATCCATTAAGAAAATTGCATTTATCACCTCTGATTTACAGACACAGTACAAAGATTAATGTTAACTCACTTTCTTTACAATTACTTCCCATCCCTATTTTCTGTCTACAGAATATTTCGATCTCTTTGAAGGGTACTGGCAATATACTCAGTTCTCAGATCCTCTGGGCTTGAAATGTTGTAGTTTATATTACTGTTAATACGCTTCTCTAAGTAGCTCCGCTGTTTTTGCTTGAATTAAGAAGCCAGCATTCAAATAACTCCCGCCTGTGGCTAGAAAGAAAAACCATAAAATTCATGGAGAATCAAATAAAATCCATATTAATGAGTCAGTGACTAATATTGGTATAAGTAAAAAATGCAACCAGTCACTGTTTAGACTGTTCAAGAAAGGAAAGCATATTTTTAGTCATATTCTAATCTTAGGGTATTCCTTAATGATTAAAGATGTTGTTATCATAACCTTTTAAAACACTGCTTTAGTTAATGGCACTTTGCTTCCCCAAACTACTGGTTTAATCAGCTGCATTAATGCAACCCTTTAAAATTTTGCTTTAGCAAATAACGAATGAAAGCTGACTACGAACATAATAATTTGAAGTTAAAAATACCTCCACATTACATTGCGGGAATGAAAGAATATGTTCCCATTACAGATGAAAGGGCATTTCTTGTTAAAATACAGTTCCAACAGAAAACGCAATGCAAAAAACCTTCCTGCTAAAATCCTATTTTCTGTTCATAAACTTGGAGATGCTCTCTCCACGTTTCAACTTTCTGTTTTTTCTCCATTTTTTTATTGGAAAATACAAGGAGGCGTTGTCGTTCGGGGCAGGCACGCACAAAGCGGGGTGGTTTATCTCTCTTTGATTCGAGAAAACAATTTTCTTTCTGACGAACTCACCACTAGAGTTTACATTCGCTTTGCCAGTGACCCCGGGAGCTGCTGCTTGGATGCTTTCGCACCTTTGCTTCTTCCCGAGTCCCTGAGCCCCACCGGAGCGCTCTCGGGAGGTGCACCGGTACAGCGCTGTGCATCACAAACGCCACCACCAAGCCCAGTCGTGG